AGAAGTACAAAAGACCATGAATCATCAAAGCCATCCAAAGAAAAAAGAACAAGGGTGGAGGCATCACTCTGCCTGACTTCACATTATAGTACAAAACGACTATAATCAAAACAGCATGGTATTGGCAGAAAAAAAAAGACACACAGACCAGAGGAACAGAATCGAGAATTGAGAAATACACTCATGTTTATACGGGCAAATAATTTTTGACAAAAAGCCAAAAACATACAGTGGAGAAAGGAAAGCCTCTTCAATACATAGTGCTAGGAAAACTGGAAAGTCACCTGCAAAAGAATGAAACTAGACTGTTGTCTATCACCACATACCAAAATTAACTCAAAATGGATTAAGGACCTGAATGTAAGACCTGAAATAATAAAATGCATACAAGAAAACATAGGAATGAAACTCATGGACCTTGGACTTAAAGAGGATTTTATGAATTTGACCTCAAAGGCAAGGGAAGTAAAAGCAAAAATAAGTGAATGTTAAAAAATGGGTAGAGGATCTGAACAGACACTTCTCCCAGGACGACATACAAATGGCCAATAAATATATGAAAATATACTCAGCATCATTAGCTATTAGGGAAATGCAAGTCAACACTACAATGAGGTACCATCTCACATCTGTTAGAATAGCTGTTATCAACAGAACAAGTAATAACAAGTGTTGGAGAGGATGCGGAGAAAAAGGAACCCTCATACACTGCTGGCGGGACTGCAAATTGGTACAGCCACTATGGAAAACAGTATGGAAGTTCCTCAATCCCCCTACTGAATATTTCCCCCCAAAACTTGAAAACATATATCTGAAAATATATTTGAATATTGATGTTCATAGCAGCATTATTCACAGTGGCCAGAACATGGAAGCAATTGAAGTGTCCTACAACAGAGGACTGGATAAAGAAGCTGTGGTACATATATACAATGGAATATTACTTAGCTATAAGAAGAGGCCTCCCATTTGCGACAACATGGATGGACCTTGAGATAATCATGCTGAGTGAAATAAGCCAGACAGAAAAAGTTGAAAACCACATGATATCACTTATATGTGGATATAAACCTAAAAGCAACAAATAGGACAAACAAGCAGAGGCTTATAGACATGGACAACTGACTAGTGGTTACGAGAGGGTAGGTGGAGAGCGGGGAGGCAGATGGGGTAAAAGGGGTCAAATACGTAGTGACAGAAGGAAATCTATACTAAGGGTGGTAAACACATAATGCAATATATATATGCCTCACTATTGAATTGTACACCTGAAACTTACTGAATTTCATCAACCAATGTCACCATTAAAAAAAAAAAAAAAAGAACAGCAACAAGAAAAAAATAATCCAAAAAAATGAAGATAGTTTAAGAAACCTCTGAGACAACATTATGCGTACCAACATTCACATCATAGGAGTACCAGAAGGAGAAGAGAGAGAGAGCAAAGAATTGAAGATCTATCTGAAGAAATAATGACAGAAAACTTCCATAACCTGGTGAAGGAAATACGCATACAACCCCAGGAAGTTTGGAGTCCCAAACAAGATGATCCCAAAGAGGCCCACACCAAAGACACATCATAATTAAAATGCCAAAGGTTAAATTCAAAGAGAGAATCTTAAAAGCAGCAAGAGAAAAGCAGTTAGTTACCTACATGGAAGTGCCCATGAGACTGTCAGCTGATTTCTCAACAGAACCTTTACAGGCCAGAAGGGACTGGCAGGAAATATTCAAAGTGATGAAAATCCAGGAACTACAACCAAGATTACTTTACCTAGGAAAGCTATCATGTAGAATTGAAGGACAGATAAAGAGCATTCCAGACAAGAAAAAGCTAAAGGAGTTCATCATCACCAAATCAGTATTGCAGGAAATGTTGGAAGGACTTCTTTAAAAAGAAGAAAAAAATATGTATCAAAAATCTAAAGAAGGGCAATAACTACATATCTATCAATAAGTTCTTCAAATGAAAAAGAATTAGATGCTCCAGTCAAAAGATAGGGTGACTGAATGAGTAAGAAAACAAGACCCCTATATTTGCCGCCTTAACGAGACTCACTTCAGATTAAAATACACACACAGACTAAAAGTAATGGGATGGAAAAGATATTTCATGATGGATATAGAGGGTATTGTGCTGAGTGGAATAAGTCAGATAAGAGATAGAAGAAGGAAATGCCATATGACTGCATGTATAAGTGGAATCTAAAGAACAAAATAAACAAACAAAAAAACAGAAACAAACTCATAGATATAGAGAACATTTTGAGGGTTATCAGATGGGAGGGAGATTGGGAGCGGTCAGTGAAAAAGGGGGAAGGGATTAAGAAGTACAAATTGGTAGTTACAAAACAGTCATGGAGATATAAAATATGGCATAAGGAATATAGCCAATAATATTGTAATAACTATGTCTGGTGTTGGAGGGGAACTAGACTTAGTGGGTTGATCACTTTGTGAGTTATATAGATGTCTAATCACTATGTTGTACACCTGAAACTAATATATTATATGACAACTATAACTGAAAAATAAATTATTAAAAAAAAGAAAACCCATCAGACAAGTCACAATAGAGGAACAGTCTACAAAACACCTAACCAACACTCTTCAAAACTGTTACGGTCACCAAAATGAGAGAATGAAAGCCTGAGGAGCAGCCTGAGGAGACGCAGGACTAAATGTAACGTGGTGTCTTAGATGGGATCCTGGCGCAGAAAAAGGACATTAGATAAAAACTAAGAAAAGCTGAATAAAGCACAGACTTTAGTTAATAATCATGTATCAATACTGGTTCATTAACTATAACAAATGTATCATAATAATATAAGATGCTAATAATAGGGAAAAATGGGTGCAGGGTATACTGTAACTATAGTATTATCTTTGCAGTTTTTCTCTAAAACTGCTCTTAAAAAAAATAAAATTGTTTATTTAAAAAAACAGCAACAATACCAAAAATAAGTACTGATTTACTGCCCCCAAAAAGATATAATAAACACACTATGATTATTAAGTAATCAATACCATGTTGCATGTGTCTTTTTCCCACAAGATAAATTATATATTACATGGAAACCAACTAGGATAAGGAATATTTAAAATATTCCTTAAAATAAAATAAAATCTGCAAAGATCGGATAAGGAATTTAAAATATTCCTTAAAATAAAATAAAATATTTAAAATATTCCTTAAAATAAAATAAAATCTGCAAAGATCCTGCTTTTCCAAAGATCATGATTTTTTGCTGTAGAAATTTGCTTCTCAGTACCCTGAATAAGGAAAGAAGATTGGATATTGCCATTGAACAGGCTCAAATAGGTAATAAGACCTATGACTGGGTCACCTTGGGTCTTCAAGAGACTTAATAATCAAACCAGTTAGACACTGAATTAGTGGTACACAGAAACTGGCTCTGAGTTACAAACACACTCCTCCACAGCTTCTCTTAGCTTAAAAGAAGTCAGTCTCTGAAGCTTGGGGGTATAGAAGCTTGGACAGTGAAGTCTCACCTCCAGGTATCGGGGAGCCCAGGTAAAGGTGAGTAACTACTTTGCACTGCAGTTTGGTTTCCTGCATACACCCACCGTCTTGTAATGAAAGTATCAAAGTCAAGTCCAGCCTGTTAAGGAGAGACATACCAAATTTGGCAGGTTGTAAAATAACGCTGCTGTTGCTGATACGAACAGTAGCAATGGCGAGGCACTGTTCTAAGCACTTCACATATACTTTATCAGAGCTTACGGTTAACTGTACAGACTGTCTAGTCTGGGTTCAAAAGCTAGCTGTGCAGTCTGATCAAGTTATTGGTTTCTCTATGCCTCAGTTTCCTCATCCGTGAAATGCAGACATTAACAGCCCTCTTGTAAACATTCAATGAAGTATGTACATTATTTACCCCACTTACAAGTGAGGAACAGGGCACAAAGAGATACCATAACTTGCCCAAGGTCACAGCAGTAGATTGGATGTGAACTCATGAAAAAAGTTCCAGGGTTCACATTTTTCACTTAGGGGTTACCACCGCTTTTTGGAAAAGTAGCCAATGACAAACAGGTTTTGGGTGCGGTAGAAAAGAAAATGAGCTGAAAGAAAGGGAGCTAGTGTCGGGAGAAAGATGGGACTTCCTTGTGGATATGTCTACTAAGAGTTTGAGAAGGACTGGTGGGCTTCAAGGGAAACATTCAAGCCTGAGGACAGAGATGTGGGAGAGATCTTTAGAAAGGTGATGGTCAAAGTGATGAAAATAGATCTCAGAGCAGAAAGAGCAAGAAAAAGGGCCCAGGAGGGGTCTGAAGTAGCAGAGGAAAATGAATCAGAGGAGACAGAGGCATCAGTCAGAAAGACAAGGACACTTGGACTGTTTAACATCTCAGTTGCACAAGGCACTCTTAAGAAAGAGGGTGGATCTCTGGGAAAGGCCCGGCCCCCACCCACCCCAGTGCCAGCCTCAGAAACCAAGCCAAGCTGAACTTCTGCATGCCCACCGATATCACTCCTGACTTTTGAGACTGCTCAGTGCTAGGATCTTGTCTCTGCCTCTTGGTGGATGTTTAATCGTTTCCTGAGGTCATGACCATGAACTCCTTGGAAACAAATAACATCTTTCCCCTTTGTGTCCCCAGTGCTCTGCTAAGTGTCCTGTACATAGTTGGTGCTCAACAGATGTTTGCTGAAGGTGGCCCTTCCATGTATGTCTCTGCACCAAGTGAGACCATATTCTCTGTAAAGACAAGGACTGCCTGGACCCCATACTCCTCGCCCAGTGCATATTGTAGACAGAAGTATATGTCCAGAGCTGACCCGATCTTTGGTCAGGAAGTGAGTTTGGGTGAATTAAAAGTGACCTCAGGACAGAGGGTGCACATTCCTCAGCAACCCCTCAGTCCATCCAAGCATCCCGGGGAAAACTTACAGGGCTCTGGATTCTCCATAGATTTCACTGGAAAGAAAACCTGAACCCAGAAGGCAAGTCATGAAAAAGACAAACTTAACTTACTGTCACCTGAGCAGGCAGCAAATCCACAGCCATTCTTTCCTTCTTAGTTTTCCAGCCAAAGGAGAGCAGAGCACTGCTAACGTCAATCTGCAGAGGAAAAGGGTGTCACGAGGAACTCTGGCGTCAAAGGTGGCTTAGAGAGAGGAAGTTACAACCACCCGAAATGACCATCGGGTCCCAGCAAAGCCACTCCACATAAATGCAAACCAAGTAAAAAGGTGTGCTTACCAAGCCAATGAAGCTCTAAAATAATGTCAATCTCCTCCTCTCTGCATTAACCATACTTCTGATTTCTGTAAATTGATGCTTTAACATCCACTGAGGGTCTATTACCAAATTGTGACTCACGCACAGATATCTGGAGTCTTCAGGTGGCTTTAATCTATACACTCTAACAGTTACAGAGAACATGGATTGCCCAGGCTGCCCGTTCAAACACAGCCAGGCAATCCCAACCTTGCCTTCCTTGCCTATCCTTTTTCCTTCCTGAAGAAACCACAATAAAGGTGCTTACCCACATTTCCCCTCTCTCTCAGCCTCATGACCCACCAGGTGCTTCCCCTGAGTGGCCTCCCTGGAGTGCTGTGTTCTTCCCAGGGAACTGTGAGTAAACTCTAACCTGCTGTCTTATCCTGTGTCTATCTCTCTGCATCTACCTTAGCATACCTCACCCAAGGTAGCATGGTGAAGACACTCCCTCTCAAACGAGATGCACGCCAGACTGCTGCTCGTTTTCCCCTAAACACAAATTCCACAGTTGCCTCCTCTTACAGCATCCAAAGCTGGAAACGGCCCTCAGCCTCTCACACACAAACCCCAATTGGCAGAGCAAGAAAGGAGGTGCCTGGAGCAGCCAGACGAGTGTCCAGAGAAGAGCCTTGGCCCTAGCTGCTGCACTGGCTGCCTAGTTTGCAGGGGGCTTATGGGGTACGGCAAATGGAGTGAGAGCTCAACAGGCTGAGTATCGAGTGTAACCTGGGGCTGGCGCACCTCAGCCAGCACGAAGGCAGCAGCGGTTAAGTGATCATAGATACTCTATGATGCACACTTTCACCCCACCAGGAATCTTGAGTGCTTTTCATGTATTATTTTTAATCCTCACAACAATTCTTAGAAAATAAGTATTGCTACCTCATTTTACGGATGTGAAAGCGTGAGAACTTGGGTGCTTGGTGACTTGTCTAAAGAATCAAGAATGGTTAAGAATCAGAGGCAGGAAGGGGATACTGCTCCAACATCTCAGTTAAACGTGGCAAGGTACCTGGCCACTCTGTGCCTCAGTTTCTTTACCTGTAAAATGGGGACAGTGTGCAGCCAACCTACGTGTTATTAAAAGATGGAGTTAATTCATCTAGACTAGTGCCTGGCACACAAAGTTCTCCTTACGTATTAGCTATTGTGTTTATTATTTGTTCCCCCGATAAGGCTCAGAAAAATCAGCCACAAAATACCCCCACCCACAGCACTCCCGGGCACGCCCAGCACGCCCGCCACAGAGCACTGCCGCTTAGGCCGTGCGGACAGGCCTCGGGACCCCGGCTCGCGGCGTCTCCCTGGCGCCCACGCCCAGCCCCGCCAACCCCGCACACACCCCACTCACACGAAGATAGGCGCTGGCACCGCCCGCCGCCCTGAAGAGGCAGGGGAGCTCCTCAGTCCCAGGAAGGCCACCCTAACGAAGCTGGGACCGTCCGCGCCACCAGCCCCAAAAAGGCAGCAAGCGAGCAGTCCCAGCAACCCAACAAACCCCAAGAAAACTACGACTCCCGGCATGCCCAGGGCCTGCGCAGACTGCACTTCCCAGAGGGCGCCGCGGCGCGGCCACTTCCGTGAGGTGAACACTCCCGCGGGAGCGCGCGGGCTCCGGCGCCTGCTGTGCGCTTGGAGGCCGCCCTGCGAGGGCGTATGCACGGCGCTGGCTTCCAAGTGCTGGCTGGCCAAATCGGCCTGCGAACTTGTTTTGTTGGGTAGGCAAAATGATTTGAAAAGACAAAACCTGAAGTTAGGACACCTTTAAGAGGATCAGTGCATAACTAGCTCCCACCAGCTTATGATTATTTTTAATTATTTTAATGTGTATCATATAATATAATGTATGCATAGGTACAGATTAAGAATTATAAAACGAACACCCACATACCCAACACTCTACTTACAAAAAAAGAACTTGACCAGAATTTTGGAAGCCTTGTCCATGATGCTCCCCATTCATTTTCTGAATTGTGTTAAATATTCCTTTGCTTAGCTTGATGGGTACTTCATGTGTATGTGTCCCTAAACAATAAGTGTTTACTCTTGCAAGGCTGTGATCTTTATATAAACAATCTGCTGTATGTTCTTCTGTGATTAATATGCTCAACATGAACCTTTAGATTCATCTATCTTGATACATGCAAAGTTCATTTTCACTGCTGTGTAAGAGTCTACTATTCATTCTGTAGCAGAATGTCCAAACCTATAGAAAAATTTTATAAGTTTATTTGAGCCAAAAAACAGGATATACCTGAAAGGAAGATCTTAACAGACTGAGAAAATGCTCTGGAGAATGACCATTTTGCGGTTCCTTTTACACATCTAGAATCAGAGAAGAAAACGTCAGGAAGGTTACATGAAATCTGCTAGTAGATTAAGGAGGTGGGGAAAGCAAAGCGGGGAAATCTTTAGAATTGGATAAAAAAGCAAAATGGAGAGAGACATCTTTTCTTACATTGGTGGGTACAGGACAGTTAACATTTAGCATATGTATACAGAGATGGTATTCAAGCAACAAGATAACAGTGAGGAGTTTCTTGGTCTCCTGATATGGTGCCAGTGGTTGTGCCTCCAAGGGGTCTGGAAAAGAAAATTATTGACCTTTCAAAGGTATGTCATCCTAGATGCATAAGAACAATGGACAGAGCTCACTCAAGGTAAAAGTTGACCTTTACTAAAAAAGAACTAGGCCTGGGACTTGACTATCCACCATGACCCTCCCAGTTAGGAATTTGTCATCAGACCATTCTGTATGGTTACTTTCAGTGACTGAGCTTGTCAGACTTGCCATGTAGCCCTCTGAACCTGTCAGGTCTGCTGTGTAGCCCCCTTTTCACAATTCATTCAACAAAAATGCATATTCAACTCCTATTTTGCACTTGGCATCCTTCTAGATGCTAGAAATATACTAGTAAACAAAATTGTCAAAACATCTGCATTCATGCTAATGTAGGGAGGAGGCAAGATAATTAAAAATGTTAATCAAGCCACATTCAGAGACTGCAATGTGCTGATTAGCCCTGCAGCCAGGCCAGGAGGACACCTTCAGAACAAAGAAAGATTTCTGCTGGAATACTAACAACCCATTCACCACACCTGTGAAGGGGAAACAGGAACCAAGAGTCTTCCACTATGGCTAAAACCATAGGGAATATATGGCTTGAAGGCTAGGAACTGCCAGCAGGTCTTCCACTCTATATATATTCTTACCTTTTCACACTACATACTCTTCTGTTTCCTCACTGTATGCTCATATCAAAGGAAATGGGTTAAAGTCTTTTAAACAATAACTCACAGGAAGTAAAAAATGACATATAAACTGAGTTCCCTGAACACTCGGCCCCTACTCACTCTTTCTGAACCCTCGGCCCCTACTCGCTCTTTCCACGTCTCTCTTTGGCCCTTTCAGTGCCTTTACTCTGTTTCTCGCACTGTTCCTCTCTACTCTCAGCCTCTGAGAGGAGACCACACTCTTGTCTGTGGGATGTTACCCCTTTTCCAATAAACTTTCCTTTTGACATTAACTTTGGCGTGTCGAATTCTTTCTGCACTCTCCACCAAAGGACCCTCTTCTTCTCTCGGTGCAGGGCTTGGTCTCCCCCTCACTTGAGGAAATTTGCCATGCATCAATGTGGCTTAAATTCTTCTGGGAGAGGGGAGAAGAAAGGTAATAAACAAGAACAATAAATGGTATGTTTTTAGATCATGATGATTTGCTGACAAGAACAAGAAAGGGCAACAGGCTCTCCGGTGGAGGTTGGGGAGGACTGTTGCAATTTTACACAAAATGGTTAAGAAGCATTTGACTAAGAAGGTGGTGTGACAGGCTGATGCTGCCTGACCATTTCCTACTCAAATGAGTTAGTTCCTGACTGCACCCTGCCTTCCCAGGACTCTCCAACTGACGCTGCAGTCCAAAAACCTGCTTAAACAATTGAGCCTGTTTCCTTATAGTCTGGCAGCCAATCAATGTTCTCCTTATGTTCTCCTTCCTTATATGGAATATCTATAGCTGTGTAGGAATGCGGAAGTACAGATGATATAAAACTGCTCACCATGTTACAACCTGGGCTCAGCCTTTGGATAAGAATCCGCTGAGCTGGTGCTAGCATCAATAAACACTGCTTCCTGCTTATAGCCTCAGTGTCCTGTCTCTCCGTTGGAGAATCCCGCAACAGTGGCATTTGAAGAAGGATCTGCAGAAGATGTGGAGTGAGCCAAGTTAAATATCTAGGGGAAAGCTTTCTGGATGACTGAAAATCTGATGCCCTGAGGTAGGAGCATGCCTGGCCTGTTCAAGGAACAAGAATATTATTGCTACAGCAGAAAAAAGAGAGAGAGAAAGTAGATCGAGGTAAGAGGACTAGAATGTGTAGGCTCTTATTAGTCTTCGTCACTGGATTTTACTCTGAAGGAGAATAATAATCTGAGAAGTGGAGAGACTTGCTCTGACTTGCATTTTTAAATGGTCACTCCAACTGCTGTGCTGAGAACAAACTACATAGGGTCAAAGGAAGAAGCAGAGAGGCTGAGACTAGTTAGAAGGCTATTGTAGTAATCTCTGAGAGAAGACCACAGTTTAAACTGAGTAGAAGTTATGAGAAATGGCTGAAAAGCTCAAAATTCAAAACGTGGAAAAGATCCTCATCTTTGAATATAATGTTTTTCAGCTATGAAGTATATCTATTCTTTTAAAATAGTTCCAGTAATTATATTACATTTTTAAAGATATTTTTATGCTCTATTTTTTGGATTATAAAAATTAAGAATTATCTTATCTTTTGACTTCATTTATACGTTAAATCCAATGCAAATTTATTTTACTTTGTTCCATTTGGGATTTTAATAATATGAGCTAATTGGCCATGACTACTAGTATCTAATTTTAATACTTTCCTATTACATTTTCCCTCTCAACTATGAATTTCGGCGATTTCCTTAAGTTTTATAATTTACGTTTATCTTTAATTAAATTTACGCTTAACTTGTTTCTTTATTGGCCATGTCTATACAACTGCTTTCTTAATTTTCGTTTTCGGTCTTCCTATGTCCATTCCTTTTTCACACTGTCACCATCTAGTTTTTATCTGTGCCCTGTCAGTTATGCCACAGTCCTCTTAGCTTTCTGGAGAAGTCTGAAGCCAATCTGATTTTTCTCTTGCAGGTAGCCTTTTTTTGTTCATTTCTCTACACTGATTTTTATAAATCTTTTTTCCTCTTGTTTCCTGTATCTTTAAGTATTTCTTTGTTTCCTGTATCTAGCAATAATTTTTTTTTCATTATTTTTATCTGGGACACACAAAAAATATTAAGACTTTGTTCTCTCTCTTTTTTTTGGCAATCTTCATTAGCAACATATTAAACTTTTATTCTTGATATCTGGCTTTCATATCTCTGATAATCTCGCATTTTAATTCTTTGTCCTTTCCTTTATTTTCTAGACAGACTCTTCACATTTATATTCTAAGCTTACAGAATCCAATTTATAAAGTTATTATTCTCCCACTTTCTCTTTCTAATGTAGTTTATTCGTTTTCAAAAATGACCATCCACTTTATGTGTACAAGTTCACAGTGGACACAGCACCCATGCAGTAGAACTGGCAGATTTTAGACCTTTGCCACCAGCACGACAAGGGTGTACTCTGTTTTAAGCACTGTCAAATTGCTTAGCTACAGCACACAATAAGTATTAAAGAATGTTTTTTAAATAAAGAGAAATAAAAACGGTGTACGAGTAATATGTTGTTATTCGAGTAGCTAACAACAATGTTTCTTCAGGTAATTCTTATAGGAGAAGTAGTGATGGTGGTAGATTTAAAACCCCCGTTGTATCCTTTATAAAAACCAATAAAAGATGTGGGAGAGAAAAGAGAGGAGACAGTGGTGTTCCTAAAATTGATATAAAATCACCACTAAAAAGACAAAGTGTAAAAATAGGCAAAAGTGTACTGGTATATAAGAGAATTAAATCGAATAAGTGCTTAAAAGTATATGTAGGATATATAAACAATTCCTATAACTCAAAACAATCTTAATTCAAAAGTGGGCAAAAGATCTAAATAAACATCTCTTCAAATAATATATAAATGGACAATAAGTACATAAAAAGATGCTCAACATCATTAGTCATTAGGGAAATGAAAATCATAACCATAATGAGATACCACTTCACATCGTTAGGATGGCTATTAAAATATGGACATAACGAGTGTTGGTTAGGACATGGAGAACCCCACATTGGAACTGGAAACCTTGTGTTGCCACTGTGGAGAGCCTTTGGGCAGTGACTTACAGTTAAATATCCACTTCTCATATGACTATGCAACCCCATTCTTAGGTATTTACCCCAAAGAAATGAAAGCTTATGTTCATACAAAACCATGTGTGCAAATGTTTTTAGCAGCTTTATTCATAACCG